GCATGTGGCATTCCAAGGATCCTGAAAGAACAGGGCATCTCTTTTGCAGGTCACAGGAAATGGGTAGCTATCCAGCTAAACAGATTTCATGCTTGACTTCAGTGGAATAACTCAAATGATGATCTGTTTGGGAGACTAAATTAAAGAGGTAAGTGGGCATGCTGGTTTTATTTGGTTTAACTTTTGCTGGTTCCATTGCTCCCCTAAGCATTTTTTAAAAATATAGATCTCTTCTCCCAGCATCCCCCTCTCCCAAATTCTGGCCAGATCCTGCTTCTCAGGTAGCAGTAACTTTGAATTAGCTTGGAGGGAAGGCCTTACCAGGATCTCCTTTCTCTACAAGATAATGAAAACATGACCATTCTTTTCTCACAACTCTAAATATAGTCCCTCGGTATCCACTGGGGATGGGTTCCAGAACCTTCCAAGGATACCAAAATCCATAGATGTTCAAGTCCCTTATATAAAATGATATGGTATTTGCATATAACCTATGCATATCCTCTTATGTATTGTACTTTAAGCTATCTCTAGATTACTTATAATACCTAATACAATGTAAATGATCTGTAAATAGTTGTTATACCGTATTGCTTAGGGAATAATGACAAGAAAAAAAGCCTACGATGTGTTCAGTTCAGATGAAAACATCCATTTTTTTTTCTGAATAGTTTCCATCCGAGGTTGGTTGAATCCACAGATGTGAAACCCACAGATACAGAGGGCCAACCATACTGAGTCCTGACTTCACCCATTCCTCCTACCCCCATTTCTCCCAATCCTTAACCTTCCTTGCAATTCTTGGAGCAGAATACTCATGAAGGAGTCAGGGGTTGTCTTCCCTTCCTAGAAGCAATGCTTCTATGTTGTCATTCGATATTGAATAAAACATTAAACAGAAAAGGTTTGATAATATCACATAAGAGTCTATTTCCTTGGTTCACACCATGAAAACTAGTGAGATCCCCAGTTCCTCAAAATCTGGGAACAATATGCTTCATATTGCTATCTAATATGACCCACCAACCCCATCTTCCACCCTCCACCTTCCCCTTGCATCCTAACCTTCCATTTCATCATGCAAGCTGCTAGAGTCGTGAGTTGTTTCTGAGATGAGTGAAGGACCACTGACATCTATGTCTTCCGTAAAGAGTAGTGTAGACATGGCTATAACCACCACCTCCTCCTCTCTTCCCCATTAATGTCACCTAAATTTTGAATGTTTGACTGTGTTATTTTCAAAGAAACTGTAGCAGATTCTGCACATGACATGCTTCCAAGGCACTGTAAGTTCTCTGTAGAAAGCTAAGGGTGTCACTTGTTATCAGGACCTCTAGCCAAGTTGTTGAAGTTGACAGAGTTTTATTAGCTCTGTTTTTGCAATAGTCTGTCTCATTCTGGAGACAAATGGGGAAACTCTGCCTTCACGCTGGGTTTGTTTTATAGCTCTTAGATGTGTAATGCAAATGAATGATGTTGAGCCATTTCCAACCTGTGGTGATGGGTGTCAGTTTCTTGGACACCACTAGGAAATCTGTAACACTGAGCCACGTCATAATGATTCAAAGGCAAACTGTCCTGGAGACAGGGCTGGACTCTGTGACTCACAATTAGAACTCCATGGTTCTAGTTCTGACCCTTCTTATGACTGTGTGGCCTTGGATAGGTCCTTTCATTTTGGTTCCATTTCCTCATCTATAAAGACAGAGACCTGGGTGAGCTCTCTAAGTCCATTCCAGCTCTGTCATTTTATTATTCTAATAAATGAATCACCAAAAAAGTCGTGAAAACATCCAATCAAGAAAAATAACTGTGATTCTGTTTTATATAGTGTTAAAGATTCCCACTTGACTTTTGAGTCTCTTTACTCAGTATGTGTACCCCAAAGTTCTACTAGATTTCCATAAACTAGCCTTTAAAATTGACCCTGGGCCAGTATAAAATCCTGTCTTATTATAAGGCCCAGATTCTGAGTTGTAAGAAGGTCTGTTTAAAATGGTATGTTTTTCTTGCAGCAATTGTTAAGTGGTCAGGTTTTATGATGTTTTAACATTCATTGCCATTCATTATCTAAACACTGTTCTATAATCCAGGGAGTGTGAGGTTAATAAGTAGAATGGAATTCATTCTGGGTTTGATTTCATCTGCTGATTCTAGTGGAAGACTCTTTATATCTGTTCCTTCTTTCTCAACATGTTTAAGCAGAGAAGCTCTGGTTCTCTGTTCATGACCTTAAATCTCTTTGACTTTGGGGAAGGAAAAATGTTGCTGTTTTCAGCCCCACATTTAACAACTGTAAAATGTGGTGACATGTCATAGAAACAGAAATCCATTCATCCTCACTACATTTTTGGGTGATTTAAATATTCACCATATTGTCATATGGTGAATATTTAAGTCACTTACGTGCGTTTTTACTTTTAAAACAGAGAATTTTTCCACCTGTATAATGTTCATGAGTCCTAATGTTTTAATGTTACATTAATTCATCTGTTCCATTTCATAATGCTCCAAAAGGGAACAGCGGAGAAAGAAAGCTTCAGAGTACACGATGGACATTTCACAGTCCAGTTGCTTCTCAGGCAAAAGGCAACCATGTTGAACCTGCTTCTAAATGTTCTATTCCACCTATTAAGATTATGGATGCCACAGATGGATTTTTGGAAGGCTGTGTCGTTTTAACTAAGTCATTCTCCCATTCAACAAGGCACTCACTCTCTTATCTTCCCATTTCTGACTCCACCACCACCACTCCCTCCTAAGTACACATTAATACTTGGACTACATTCACCAAAACATATAGTTTCATTAACTGATTGCTTTGCTGCACTCCAAATGGCCTAACATTTTGTAGCTGAAGGAGTGTAAATCATGCCTTATGTGGGCTACAGTAGGATGTGATGTTTAGAGAAAGGAAAATATGCTTCCTTATAGAAGCAAGAAGCACTAAGCCATCTGGATTGTAAAGAAAAAAAATTTGGTCATTTATTCTGATGTTTTGTCTGCATAGTACCAAACATCTGGAAGTTGGGTGACAGAATTTTTCACATCCAGATGTTTTTGCATTATACTGAAACATAGCTATATATTTTTAAGAATTTAAATAGTAAAAGCATAAAAGATGTACTAATTTCACATTTCGAGGTAGAAAAGATAAAATGAAACTGAGGCAAACTTTTGGCTGGTTCTTCATGTAATACACTATTTTTTTCAAAAGTCACTTGCTGCAACTAAACTCTTAGAATTAAAATAACTATGAAGAAATATCCCCAGAAATACTGAATGTCTGCCATTAAAAGCACAATTTAGACTGTTGCTTAACAGCTGCAATGTTGACATAATGCAAATTCAGGTAACACTTGGATAGTTAAAAGCAATTATTCTGAAATATAATTACTTAGCAGTTTAAGCGAGTTTCATTCCAAGTGACTCTGAACACATTTGTTCCTTCCACACAAATGAGAATGCATGATCAAGGTTCTAATGGGACTTGCAAGGAGACTTTTCAGACCTTTTCAAGAATCAGTTTTGAGAAATGCTTTTAATGATGCAAAATAAAAAACTAAGATTCCATCTACTGGAGCCACCTTGAACGCTTGTCACAAGAACACAGGCAGAAAGGAGTATTTAAGCATTCTGTGACACGACCCTTTGAAAAAAAGTAAAATATTTTGTGTCGTTTTGAGAACTGCATTTTTCTTGTCCTCTCACATTAAGTGGCCTTGGATCTAAGGCTTGCTGGACGACATGTTCAGAACCTGTTTCCTTGTATTAGAAGACACAGAAATCTGGCTCTCAACTGCCAACAGGCTTCGTGGGCATTGCTATGCCATGAGAATTCTAATATATTTTTCATTATTTCCACAAAGGCATATAGAGTGTGTGCATTACACACAGCAGTATAATTGAGCTGAACTGGCCTGGTGCCGCGTTTTTGCTGACTCAGCACATGGTTTCTCTTTCCCAGATTACTAAAACAACTTTCCTCTGAGGTAAAAGCTTCGCAGGAAAGCAAAGGGGAATAGAAATACAGAGGGGCCTTATTTTCACCCTTAATTATACCAAGTCCAAAGGCAAATGCAAACTCAGACCGAACTTTTTGAGGCTTCAAAAATAAAAAAGGTCCCCCTTTGCTTCTCTTCCCAACCCCTGCACCCGTGGGAGTCACAGTAAATTAGAACCCAGCTTGTTTTTCAACGATGAATTTGCACCGGGGCCTCTTCCGCTTGGAGTGGCGTCCTTGATGCGGACTGCCCGTGCCTTTTTTACGCTTTGTCTACAGTATTTTAAGCGAGACAAGCCAACCTCGTTTTGTATGGACTTGCACCAGCAAACATTTAAGAGTTTCGCATCAAGGATACTGCATATTCCAGACACTGCGTACAAATTTTTAGGACTTGGGGTCACAACACTTGTTCCCCTTCTCCGCCCGCTTCAGCGCTAGAGCCTGCAGAGATTTAGGGTCGTGTGTGCACACCGGCCCACAACATACTACTAAGTGGCAATGGCCGGTTCCCAGACGCATCGAACGTCCTTCAAGTTCGGTTCTCTGCTCCTTGACACACTCAGCCATTAGTGCAGCGGGAATCACTGGGCTCCGATTAGCTCGCGGGATCGAGGCAGGCGGAATACTGTGAACCTCCGGTCTTCCCCCCCACTCCACAAGGTCCCCATCTCCCCCATGACCTGCTCGCTAATCAGTGCAAATGCCGTAGGAGGCCAGGCCCGCAACTGGCATTCCAGAGAGCGCGGACCACCAGCCGAGCTTTAAATAAGTGCAGATGTGACAGACAGGGGAGACCCAGGGAGGGCCGCCTCTCCCGCCCAGCACCTCCCTCCGGGCTCAGGCCGGTGCGCCGCGGGCAGCAGCCATGCACACAGGGCGCCCGCTGGCCTTAATGTCGCCGGGGACTAGGGCGCATACCAAGTGACGGCAAAGGGAACAGAGGCCCGCGAGTTCGAGGGCAGCGCGGGAATGGTGTGAGCCCTGTCACCCATACCTTCCGTGGCCCCACGGCTTCTTCCTGAAGAGGCTGGGGGATAGCCGCCCACCCTCGCCTCCACCGGTCCGACCGTCGAGAAATCCCGAACCCGGCTGGCTGGAAAGCCGCGAAGGCCTGGCTCTTCCGCCGCAAGGCCTAGCCCCACCGCCGACAGCCGGGAATCGCCCCCACCCCACACGGAAATGCACCCTTCCCGTTCCCAGCCCCGAGCTGGGTGCCTGGTGAGAAGCGAGGTTGTAGGCGTCCCTGCCTGCGGGCGGCGGTGTGCGGACCTGGGCGTGCGGGCCGCGGCGCGGGCACAGCTCAACTCCAGGACAGCGCCACGCGACCGCCACCGCGGGGTGGGGCCTAACCCGGGGCGAGAGACCTCCCGCGGAACGGCGACCCTCAGCCTCCGCTCCAGCCCGACTGCTGGCTCGGCATCTACCAGGCCGGTGGGAAAACGGAGAAAAGGAGGAAATGGACCCTGGCGCGCCCCGGTGTTTCGTCTGCCTGGAGCCTGACTCCGACTGTCTTCACAACCACCACCCCCAACTCCCCTACCTCGGGCGGCTCCATTCACCCCATCCCGGGGCGGGGCTCCCAGCCCGCGCGGCCATTCTCGCCTACGGTATCACCCTCCAAACCGGGCTTGGCTTCGGGTCCGAGCAAACCCGCTTTCGCCCATCCCCGCCCGTCTCCGCGGGTGCCATTCCGTTCGCCCGGAGGGTGCAGGGGTTCGAAGCTGCACACCACTTGGCTACTGCCCGCCGCCCTCACCCCACCAGACCCCGTCTCCGCGTCCCCCCGGTTCCCCGGGCCGTGGCACTTCCCTCCCTCCAGTCCGCGCGCCCGTCCGCCGCAGGAGCGGCTCCCCGCCTTAGCCCACAAGCCGCGAGGTGCACGGCCCTCTCTACCGAGAAGCCTGGCCTCGCCGGGCCTCGCCGTCGGCCTCCAGCGCCGACATCCGTTTCGGCGCCCACTCTTCGTTCTGCGCCCCTAGACGCCCATCGGCTGCGGGAGAGGCTCCCGGGAAGCTCGGCGGGGCCCCACGCAGAGCCCGCCCGCCGGAGCCGCAGTGCTGCGAGCGTTTCCCCGCGCCACCAGTCAGGCAGGTCGCGGCGCTAAGGGCTCTGGGCGGAAGCCGTCGACACCGGCGAGCGCTGCACCCTACACTCCCCGCCGGCCGGCCTCTGTGCGCAGCGCCCACAGCCACGTGCGCGGAGCCGAGCGGCACCCGGCCCGGGGCCGCCCAGCCCCCGGCGCCGGAAGGGGCCGCCGCACCCGCCCCGCACCTGCACCCTCCTCTCCCACTTGCCTTTCCATCTGCGCGCGGAAATGCCACGGGCTTAGAACAAACTTTTTTTTTTTTTTCCAGCGACATTCACGAGAGAGACGAAGAGGACACGGTCATTCGAGTGCCGAGGCGCGGAAGCGCGAACTGCGCGGAGCGACCTGGCTTGGCGCACAGACTCATTTACCAAGCTCGAGAGGCGGCAGCAATGCGTGTGCGGGAAGGGGAGCGGTTCTCAAAATACAAAGTGATAAAACAGCTTCCAGTTGTGTTGAAAAACGATGCAAACCCTCAATTCCTTTTTTTCTTTTTTGGACCTGGTCGGACCTGAAAGTGCCGGTTATAAACAAGAACAAAACCTTGAATTTATTGGTGGAAGTCCTATTAAAAGAGCCCAACACAGGCATATGAGACAAACTGCAAGGTGATCGATCAGACGACCATGCTATATATTGAGGGGACAGTCAAATGAATTTTTCTATTATTTTGTAAAGTGCAAAATTTAGCTAAACAATTTTAGCTAGTGCAAAATTTGCTGTAGGTTTCCCTAGAGCAAACGATCTCAGATAATATGGTTACTTTCCTAATGTAAGAATTCTTGATGATGTATCACCTGAAACAGTACTCACAAGGCTTCTGATCGTGTAACATAAACAGCAGGACATAACCAAGCTAAAGACCTTAGTCTCCTTGTGTAAATACTTAATTCCATCATTCAAAAATAGTTGTTGGTTTGTATATAATTCACCGCAGGGCTAAACATAGCTGCCTTTTTATGAATAGTATCCCAACTTTCCTCCGACCCCAAAGAAGACAAACTCAGTGTCAGTATTTTGTTCTTTAGTGGGGAATGAATTGTCCTCTTCAGCCACCTGAGGTGCTCCGGAATGAGATGTTCGAAGCGTTCCTATAAGGATAGCCTGGGTGATGGTGCAGGTGTGGGCTGATTTAAATTACTTGCTTTTGTGGTGTTCCACAGGGTCAAATGTAGGCACTGGTTTTAGGGAAGGCAGAGAGAGTAAGACTTCCTGAGTTAAAATGCCCATGTGCCCAGCCTCAGATAAAAAAGATAATACAAACCTGACAAGGCATTAGCTGATGCATCAAATGATGTGCCTGTCAGCATGAATGTCATCAATAAAAAAATTATTTAATATTTGCACTCAATTAGTCAAATGATTCCACCATTTTAAGAATTTTCACACATAAGAAATTAGTAAAATAATCAGTCAAATATTCTACACTCATTTAATGGTAAATTATCTAGCAGCAGTATACTTATTTAATTTGTTGGCATATGTAATAGGGAATTGATGTTCTTAAAAATGGGGTGCAAGAATTTCAGTTAATTTTTCTAGACTAGTAGAAAATACTAACAAAATTACTCAAGAATTTTTTTTAAAAATCATTTTGGAACAAAAGACAAACGTCAGGAAACAATATCAGAATAGACTTAACATCTGAAGATATTAGGGAACTGAGTATATGGTTTCTTAAATGACAAAACCTCTTAGTGGCTTTTTAAAATCTCTGCTAAAACACATAAAATGGGCTTTAGGTTATTTTGTCTTAGGTAAGTAGAATTTCTTGTATACCATCATAAGAAACTAAAAGCTCTGTTGGTTTTATTCCCTAAGTATCAGTAATTTAAATTCTCTGAATATAATTGACCTTATTATGTTGAATCATAGGACATAAAAGCTACCGGGGAATCTCTTTATATATAATTATGCAGATCAGTAGAAGTTTTTAAGTCACTAATAACTAGACATATAAATTTTCTGGGTTGAAGGAGTGACTGTAAATCTATCTTATATAATTTTCTAGCCATCTTTTAGTATGAGATAAATTATAGCATATAAACATCCTTGGGATCAGTTTTATTATAAGGAAATTATTTTCTTTGCTGTCAGGCATTCCCATGAGGGCAAATTTTTATTATATTTTTGAGAGCTGTTAAATTTGATGATTAAACAAATAACTCCACACCAGTGCTCAGAAAAGTTCTCAGACTATTAATAATATTTTACTTTTGAGAAATGCATTTAAAAATATAAAATTAGTGGCATTAATATTAAATTTTCATAACCAAGAATCTGTGCATAGAACAGGAAATATGTGCAAATAAAAACCAAATATCGAGGTCCAGGTGGAGAAGGACATTAAAAATTATGCTTGGCAGAAAAATAATCTATTTTACCAACAGTTCTTAAGGTCTGCCCTTTACGATGATGAAACTGCCCAGGCACCCCCTCACCAGCCTCGAACAATTGCAGCTGTGTGTATGTGTTGTGTGGTGTTTTTTTTTCTCCCCATTTCAATCTCCACTTAGCCTTTGCAGAGTAAAGAAATAAAGGAAGAATGAAAATCTTGAGCTAGCCTGATACCTATAAGGACTTATAGTTTATTAATTGGAGAATTTAGTTTAGCCCCCCTCTCTATTCATCTGAAATTAATTAAGTGTATAGAATTACAAGGTGGGTGTATCCGAGACAGCAGGCCCTGCTCGGACTAATCAAAAGGGCACATGTTGAATGAGTACAATTTAGTTAAGGTTAATCCAGTGAAGATGATACCTCCCTGGTCTTAATTACTCTAGGTGATAGATTGTGGAATGGGAAAGTAGGAAGGAAAGGAAATTCAGTCCTACTGAATACCAGGATTTTCTAATTTAATTTAGTTCTCTGTTTTCACAGAAGCAAATGGTCTCCATTGAGAGAGCAGGACCACACTCTCTGGGTTCTTGTTTAAGGTGGTGGGTCAAAGAAAAAAAATTATTTGCTTGTATGTTTTTAAGAAAAAGACATGGGAACCAAACATGAAGGTTTCAAAGGTGTTTGTGATAACGCGCCTTTCATTACAGACATGTCAGTTTGAGAATTTTGTCACAGCTCAGTGGATTCTTTATGATTTCTGCTGGTGGTTGCTTACTTTGTTGAACTCTCTTCTGAGTGCTGAGACTGGTCAATATGCTGAAATAAATCGACATGTTTCTGTACCTACAAGACTGCATTAAAGAAATGAATGTATCCATGTTATTAAAAACAATACCATCTGAATATCAATAAATACAGAACTAACCACCATGGATGAATCGCATACACATAATACTAAAAGAAGCCAGACGCAAGAATACGTACTTTATGCTTCTGTTTATATAAAGCTCAAAAACATGCACTAATCCCTAGTGTTACGCTAGCCCAACTATAGTGAGGGTGGTGGTTACCCTCAGAGGAGTAGTCACTGATAATGTTCTGTTACATAGGTGTGTTCGCCTTATGAAAACTCATTGAGCTTACACATTTGTGAACTCAAGACATGCATTTTTTCTGTATATATGTTTTATTTCAATAAAACATATACTTCACAAAATGAAAATAAGGGAAAAAATACTAAGAAGTAAAGGCATGGAATTGTGAGCCAATGTATTTTTAAAAGGCAGAGAGGTTGAAGCTGAGGGCTGAGGATATAATTCCCAAAGAGAAAAAATGTACGAAAACATCTGGCAAAATGTTATTAGCAAGGTTTGAATGTGTTCACTTTGCCATTTTAATATCCACCCACCCACAAACAGAATACTACTCAGTATTCATTCTTCACCAAATATAGGACTCTTTCTTGTTTCTTTTGCATGTGTTAAAGTCAAAGTCTGGTTAAGGTGTTTAAGAATCTTATTCTTTGTCTCTAAGACGCAGCACTCCCTGATCCTAAAAAACAAAAACAAAAAAAGCTTATTTTCTCCATGCACATGCATTAAAAAATCATCAGATGATTTTCTCATTTTCAGTTTTGTGATATATTTTCTTCTCAAGAGGGGATATCTGTTTCTGATTTATTAGCATTTGATCTCCTAGTTTCCTGCCATTGATCAAGCCTAATACTTAGCTCAGCTGATGAGTTTTATATGAAATCTGATATTTTAGGAAGATGGAAGGTTGAACCCATTTTTAATATTTGTTTGCCCTTCATCTCTTTCAGCGTTTGACGTGCACATGAGGCACCTAACAAAGCCTAAAACTAAATTTATTTTTCACTACATCTCTCTGGTATCAAACTTTTGGAAGTAAAACATGTATTTATCAATAAAACAGATGTTTGCCCAGCATCATCCACATCCTGTCTACTGTATGTATACATTTACACTCTCCCGCCAAAACATGCCTTCACCCCACTCTTAACCGGCTGTCCGCCATTCAATCTCCAGTGAAGTCTCGGTCAATAAGGTCAACTCCCTGGAAACATCTGCATTTGATCAGTTTGTACAAAACGGGGGCCTTCTTAATACTGGACTTCCCTGAAGTCAGCTACGACAATAGTTGATTCACCACTCCTGCCCAGGCCTTCCTCAGGAAACCTTTTTTTTTTTTTTTTTTTAATCCCCCTCGGAGACTATACAATGCCGAGACTAACTCCTGCTCTAATGAGCGGAGGGGCATTTGCAGCTCTGCGTCTCCCAAGCTGGCTTCACACTGGGGGAAGAATTTCACATTAACTGGAAAGATGTTCTGTCTGTTATTGCTAAAACTAGGACGACTTGCTGTCCTTGATCCATTTCGGTACTGGGAAAGAGTAACAAATGGAATCTGATCAGAAAGTTCTCAACATGTTGTCAGCGTTTCAACCCTTCCAGACCTGGTAGGGTCAGTTCTCTGCTCCCAGGTGCACATCAGGGAGGGATTAGCATTATCCTGTATGTTGTTCTTTTCTCTCTCTTTTTTGATCACATTTTCAGCATTTTGTGGTCAACATGTTATACCAACAGAAATTCTAAAGGATAACTCTAGAACCTCTTTGTCTTTAAAGCAAAAAATAAATCTTAGGATAATCAGATAGCCCCAAGATTGTATTTTTATAGGCAGAATATAAATTTTTAAACACTTCAGTAGAATGACAAATACAAAAGAGAAATTGACCAAAAGTCTAGTGTAACCTTTTAAATTAAACACCAAACCTATGACAGAATGAAAAGAGTTTCATTAAAATGTGGGGCATCATTAAATTCATTCTACTGGTATATCATTTAGAAAATCCCCAATCACGTTATTTACAAAATTTGCTTGCCACATTTTTTAAATGTTTGGGGTTTTACCGTCCTTCATTTACAGAGAGGGTAGAACAAGAGACTGAAAAGATTAATCAGCTCCGTTTCCAATGAAGGGTTTTTGAGCTTAGTCATAGGTACC